ATCTCCTATTCAAGTGTATCAATAATTTTGTTTGGAGAGCAATTTTCTTAAATGCTTTAATGGAATTAGAATACATGCCATTAAATGCACTATAGAATTCACGATAAGTATACTAACTTTCAGAATCAGAATTATATACCTTTCAAGTTCCACTTTTACTTTGTTCCATTAAGCAAAAGTTGGCACACTCATCATCTAAACTCGAGCAGGAATCAGAGGAGCAGTTTTTCACCTCTTCTTCTCACATGATTTAGGTTTTATGACCTTTGAAATATTTTTCTTCGTCTTGTAGAAAGCCTTGTCTTTTCTTTTATGATGTTTGGCGAGATTTGGATATGTTGTCCTATAGTGTCCTAATTTACCACATTCGTAACACGTAATCTCATCATCTTCTTTTTTTATCCTTCTTAAGTGGATGAGTATTTCTAAAATTCACTAGACCTTTGTAGGTATTCTCGAGCTTGTTTCTCTTAAGATATCTATTATAGCGTATAACAAATAAACATATTTCTTCCTTTTTTGGAAACTCCTTCATCAGAGTTGTCACTTTCTCCTTTTACTTCTTCAATTTTGAAGATGAGACTTTCAAAGAAAGGCCTTGTTTCTCTTATTTCCCTTTTCTATTTCTTTTTCGACTTTACTTCCTTATCGTCGGGTCGTTTCAACTCATTCTCATACTCGGCTAACTTCTCAAACAGTTTTGTAATATCCAAAGTACTAAGATCATTTGCTTCTTTTATTGCGGTGACTTTTGGTTTCCACTCTCTGCACATGGATATCAATATTTTGTTAGTATAATCTTTGTTGGATATATTTTTACCTAAGTCTCACAGTTTGTTGATCAAATGGATGAATCTAGTTTTCATGGAATCCACAAATTCTCCGGGTTCCATACAAAATAGTTCAAACTCCTCTGTAAACATATTGATTTTAGAATCCTTTATGTGCTTCATTCCCTCATAGAGAGTTTGAGGAGCATCCCACATACCTTTAGCACTCGTATAATGTGAAATCGAATAGAACACTTTAGCACTAAGTGCTGAAATGATTATGTTCCTCGCTTTTAAATCATATGAAGCATTTTTGTTTCATCATCAGTCCAATATTTTGGATGTTTAACAACGTCATTATCGCCCTTGGGAATATATGGTCCCTTGGTGACGACACACCACCGATTTTTGTCAACCGATAACAAGTGTACATACATGATCAAATTCTGATACGTATAATTTCTGCCTTTGAAAACTGGTGCTCTATTATATGCTCCCTTAGGGTCGTCATCTTATTTCATATTCACAAACTTTTGGATTTCGATTAGACACAATCAAAACACCAGTCCTTGATGTCAATTGTTAGATGTGAAGATATAAGTAGAAAAATAGTCTAGAGGGTGGTGAATAGACCCAAATTAAAAAATGCAACCGCCGTTTTCCAAATCAGGTTATTTTCAAAAATGAGTTGAGACCGGAAGGTTTGAAGCAAAAATGAAAATTATACAGTTGAATATGATAAAGCTAACACAATTCATTTTACAAATATCTAAGATTAAAAAGATGAAACGCTTGGTATGAATTGATTTAATTTATGTAGTCACGAGAAATGTACACAATTGATTCAATGTGTGGAATCCTAAATTCAATTTGTTTTCAGACTTATCAATCACAATACTAGCTTGAATAGTTGTCCAACTCCAACAAAACCTAAGCTTTACATAATTAATCGCTATTAAGAATAAAATGATTTAATACAAAGGAATTGAAAAACCTAGCATGCAATCGCTACGAATAAAAATGCATGAGTAGAGTTAGATAAATGACACCGAGATATATAATGTTTTGGTGTTCTTCCTCGCTTGGCCTACATGCACTCTTCAATGGTTTCCCATTAGAACCTGCATAGTTCCTTGTTATTTGACAGATATTTCCTAGAGTTCATACAATCACCAATCTACAATTACAACTGAGAAAATAAATCTTCTAATTTGGATCATGACTTGTATAAAGCAAACTTGTCAAACTCTTCTACGTAACCTTTACTCGAATACATTTCTTGAACCTTCCAATAACACTATTTTTGCTCCAAGCCTTCGTGTGTAGCTATTAATACCTTGATCCTACTGATTCCTTGAGAGGTGATATTGTCTGAAGATCCGAGAAGAACTCTGCCTTATCTTTAGCCTTCCACACAGTTACTAATAAGGCAATGTTGGAGAGAAGAATCTACTTCTTTTCAATGGAATTTTTCACCACCATTGACAATTTCATTCTTGCTAACAACCTAAAAACTCGATAAGATCTCGAAGAACAGTTAGTTTCAATTACATGCCTCCTTGAATCAATCTGAGAACTCTCGTTATTAATATTTGAACTCAATTGAAGTTGAAGATGTGAGAAATTTGTAGCAAGACTTTGAACACTCAAAACAGAGAAAATTGATTTTCACACATTATTACACTGAAAAATATTAACAGAATGATAACTTTTATGTTTGAATGGTGATAGAAGACGATTTATATGTGGTTGAGATGAAGCACACAAATTGGTTGAAAAAAAGTGGTTAGATTCGAATCAAGAAAAATATAATTTGAATTAAATGAGAAAAATGAGGTGAAATGAAAGAAATACCTAATTTTTGAAAAATATGTCAGTTTATTCGGATCAAAAGAAACATGATTTGAATCAAATTCCTTCTGATTCGAATCAAGAACAAACTGTGATTTGAATAAAATAGCCCATAACTGACAAGATTTTTAGGAAAAATAATTTGATTTGGATCATGTTGAAAGTTCGATTCGAATCAAATCAAACAAAATCAAACATGATTTTTCAAAATTGGAATTGATTTGAATCATGTATAAAATCTAATCTCGAATTAGACAAAAATTTGTTCCCATGTGATTGATCAAGATCAAGTGTAAAATATGATTAGGATCAAATTATTGAGTTAAGCTATTGTCCAATTTAATCAGGATCAAAAAATTCGGTGTAAACTGGATGATTTGAACCAATCTTGTAAAATCTTAAATTTTCAAAATTTTCAAAAGCTTTTTGAGATTTTACCTTGAATCAAAGTCTGTCCAAAAACACAAGGAGATTTCATTTCACTATCATATGCTATTGATCAAAGAGCATTTAGATCAAGATCAAATCTAACCAAAGTTTTATGCATGCTAAACACGAGAAATGCAATCATGAAGGAGACTCAACGAATCGAAATAAAACACATATGAAAACGATAAGATAAGCAACAAAATAACTGGATAGTAGAGACACGCAACTACAAATGAGTCATTTGAGAATGGTTTGAATCATGTTGATCTTATCCATTCTAAGGTTAAGATATCGCTAGCGAAATTTTGAAATGAAGTTTAAATTGTCGTTCTCTTTATATAATTGTATTTTCTTTGTTATTTGTATTGAGTCTTGTTTATTGTCTGAAAAATGGGTTAGGAACATTTGAATATTTGAAGTAAGTATGATAATTTTATGTATACCCTTTCATTGTCGGTCATTTGCTAAGGGTTGATGTCCTAGGATCTTTGTGGTCGTTTGATGGATCTGTGTCTAGCTATTTTCAGACGTATCTAGGGGCAAGCCCGACCAAGGGTATTCTATCTATCCATGACCCCGAATAAAAACTTGGTTTCAGATAAAGTTACCACATTTCCTCTGTAATGGCTAACTGACACAGAGTTAGCTTGTTTTGATTTTGCACAACCTACATGTTCGAGATTTGATTTGGGATTTTCGTGTATGCATTACCTATACGTTCGAGGTTGATCATTGTCTTTATGTGTACGTTGCCTACTCATTCGAGATTTGATTTGGCATATATCTTTTGCATCACATGTATGTTCGGAGTTTATTTATTTAGTTTTTTCCTTTACTGTGCCACTACCATCTCATCCAAGATTTAGTGCCTGAATGGAGGGTGTAAACTTTACCCAATCATTTAAATCAATAACAAGTAAATGTCGTATGAAAACCTCGTTTATGAACTCTAACAAGTAGAAACTTACATTATAAAAATTTACACAAATGACATAAAATAAGAAAAAGACTTAGTTGTAGTAGCATTTAAACTTGACAGTGTTCCACGTCTTCAAAATGAGTTCTCCGTGTAGGATCTCTATTGAATATGCTCCCTTGACATCAGTTCCAATTTGAATCATGTTTGTCCCTTCTTAAATTAGTGTCAGCTTGTCTTCCCCAAATTGTAAATGTCTCTGAATTTTTTAGCATAGAGTGCAGAAAACCAATGGATGCATAACAATGGTTCGAATGAGTGCTCTTGTATGGAATTCGTACACAAAAGTCCACTTGATTATTTGTGATTTACATGTTCTTATTGAATTAAAAATAACTAGTTTTAAATTTATAAAGACTAATGTAAACCAAAAAAGAAAAAAACTTACGGATAGTAAAACCAAATAACATTATAATTGTAGTGATTAAAATCATATTTAACCTTAATACAAATGTTTTTGAAATAAACTAACATTCAACCTTTCTATTTCTATGACTTTTAAGTTATATAGGATGTAGCTTAAACTTTTTTATTAATTGATTAGTTGTAGTTAAGTGATGTGCAAAAAAAAGAAAAATTACATCATTGTGTATATAAACTTATCACTAGTACTTTTTCATATTCTAATACTCAAATCTCTACTATAAACTTTCAAAAATCTTCTTGCCCCTATCTTCACATTTAATTTTCAACTCTTATTTGGAACTTCAATTTTCTATGAACATCATGAAACATAGTATATAAAGTACTAATTAACTCTAATAAATGTGACAAACTCCATTCTAGCCAACTATACCAAACTTTAGCACTAATTGAAGAATTTAACATGGAAACATTTCCACTAAAAAAATCAAAGTAGTTGAACTCCTTTATCATATATTCAAATCTACCACTTCTCTTCTCCAAAATATGATTCAACCATTACACTATATATTAATCATAATCCTTACCTTAATTTAATCAAAACATAAACCATGGCATTGATATCATTAACCTTCCTAATTATAATCTCCTCATTAAACTTAATTAATGGCCAGATTAGTTCACCATCATGCACATCCTCTATGATTAGCAGCACTTTCACTCCTTGTGCTAACATTATTACAGGAAGCACTAATAATGGTTTAGTACCATCAAGTACTTGTTGTGAATCATTAAGATCTTTGATTACTACTAATATGGATTGTGCTTGTCTTGTGATGTCTTCCAATTCTCCTTTTTATCAAGTTCTTGCTATGTCTCTTTCACAAGCATGTAACATTATTAATGGAGTTTCTGTTCAATGTAAAGGTGTAAATTCTCCATTGCCAGCTCCAACTGCTCCAACTCCTTTAAGCCCTCAAGGCAGTTCAAAACTTCAAATAATGCCTTTTGGAACAGATTCAAAAACTTTGGCTGTGGATGATAAACACATATATGAGAATCTGCAGTTGGCAGAGGCAGGGGGACTGGCACCATCATCAGCGCCGATGGAAGCAGAAGCGCCGTCTAAAACATCCAGAGTTATACCAGTTTTGACTCCTCTTCCTCATTCGGCGTCTTCTACGTCTTATTATTCCTTCTTACCTTCTGCATTATTCATAGGAATAGCAATAGTGTTGGTTTGTTAATGTGCAGCAGCATTCATACACACTCGTACCATATTATGCGTGCAGCTGGTTGGTTTGTGTTCATGTTTTCTACCTTTTGAGCTCTGATTATATACTAATACACTTTAATAATTGTTACATATATGGATATGTCACAATTCAAAAATGTTTGATCTTGAGTGAATTTTATTAATTTTTGGCATAAGCATGATCTTTGCATAATATGAAAAAAGAACAACTTGCTATACATTTTGAGCATCATCTCAATTTTCCGCATCTTGTGAACCAAACAGACTCTTAGTCGCGTACTCGAAAGCTGCCACCAAATCCTGCAAAAACCAATAAGCGAGAAACTTAATTCTCTCATAATGATAATAAAGTAAAACTAGTAATTGTCATTTTGACTAAGTTGTGGTATGAGTCAATTTTAATTACATTATAAAGAATTCAGACACAATTTTCTTTGAATCACGTAGCCTTCTCCCGCTCTTAATCAGATTGTTAGCTGCAGATATTCATACTCAACAGGTGTTGACAAACCCTTGAACTCTGCAGCTGCAAGTCTGCAACAATGAAACATGGGCAAGTTTTAGCACTTCAGCAAAAGAAAATTATAGAGAAGCTGAGAAAAGGAAAGGACAAACGACAAACCTTGGTAGGGTCTTCGAGGGTATCAGAAATGCCTTGATCACCATCGCGGCTAGCATTCCTCATAGCTTTGCCTACCTGCAAGAATTCAAAATACAAATAATTAATAGCAAAATAGAGTTTGAATTTTTCATAAGCCAGACACAAATCAAAAAAGAAAAAATCGATGGTTTTTTTTCACTGAGGTGGATTACCTTGTATAACAACACAGTTTGATGTTTCGGTTGAAGTTCCCTCAAATAGTCGAGTTGAGCTCAGAGAAAGAGAATTACATTTACATGTGTGTATTATTCATCAATAGAAATGGAAATCGGTGTAACCATAACCATGTGAATGTGAATGCGGCAATAACTCTTCTACTTCAATTCTGGAATTCAAACAACTAGAGCCTTTCTTTACTTGGCTACTGTTAATAGACTCAACTTTTGCCAAGAATATGCTACAAACTGGCCTATGATCAGAGAATCTCGACTCGCCACGAACGTAGGATAATTGTTGTAAGCCACTTCCATACCACAAGATACGATCACACCTTCATGAATAGATAATTTTATTTGATTAGATCTATATAAATAACAACATTGTTTCAAAATAATGACATTTTTCACTTCATCGAGAAAGAATGGTACCATGCTGGAGTTCTTCTCTTCTGTTTCGAGCGTCTGTCATCACCCGCATAACTGTCGGAATTGTTTGAATACTTATACGTGGGAGGAAAATATATTTTCCCTTCACTCCATCCTGTGAAGACTCGACCTTGCCGCTTCTCTATACACAGCTGAAAGAAAAAGCTATTGCATTGTCAGGTAAATCTTAAAAGTAACCGATATGGGAATGAAGCATCGTAGTTATTTGGTGGGACAAACTAACATGCCTGGTCATTCTTCAACAAAGTCTTCCAATCATGCATCTCAACAAGAGCTTTTGCTCCTCGGTACGAAAGAGCTATCCGATAATTTAAATCCCCCAGCCAAATTATTCGACTACACCAAATAAACCAATGCAAGTTAAAAATTAGGACTTAGTTGCAAATAAATTAGAAGTAGTGATGGATGAGGGACATACTCGTGTTCAAGAATTGTCTGAGGAGAATTCACATCATTCGTGTCATGGACCTGTGGAAACCTTGTCTTTCTGAGAATCTCCATTACGTCGGAATTTCTCCTTAGCTCATCACCATCCCTTTGACCGGAAGTCAGATGACTACAGACAAAGCAAAAACTTGTTTCGCGCAATGACATACTAATTGATATTGAACCCTGGAAAAATCAAAGAAAATGAGATTTTCTCTTTCCCTAGTATATTATAAGAAGTCTAGTATTAAAAATAAACTAGCGAATGTACCTTGTTTCCGAGATATCCCATCAATCCTCTTCCAACACACGACACTTTCATGTTATGAACATCATCTCTGATATCACTTTTCACCCAAACGGTTAGAAATACACCCACCATTTGCTTACTAGCAACCAAACAGTATCTTGAGTTTCCTATCGGTCTGTCAGTCTCCTCCATAGGTAAACAACCTCCATTTGACATTGGCGAATAATCTGTTGTAATCGGTGAGTCACCACCTCCATTTTCATCATCTGACGATCCCCACCGACAATTGTTGTCATAGTCGCTTGTCCTGTGACCTGATATCATTCTATCACAGACACTGAGACGTCGATCTAGGCAAGATTGTGGAAGCGACATGTCATTATCCATTCTCATACTGCGACTCATAGCTTGGAAGGATCTCCGATGGAAGAAAGAGGTTGCCTTCTGTCTCATCGATCCTTCAAAATCAGCATCTTGCTCCACAATAGGAGCGGGAATAGGAGATGGAGTATGGTATCCACCACTTGTTCCCGGAAGGTTGTTCAGCGTCTTCCTTATAAGTGCTAGCCATTTTTTTGCAGGACCATTGTCTTCTGTTCCCAAAACATTACCGGCATTAAGAGGCACAATTTCTTGAAACCTGAGTCCAAAAAAACGCAAAAATATAACACATTCCAAACCTTTTCCCAATTAAAGATTATAATGATACAAGACATTATATAATCCCTAAATTACCCAAGAACGTAAACATCAGCAGGCGGAGAAATGTGAAGCCAATCTTCAAGACTTAAATAACTCGGAGGCGACTTCCCTGCCACATTCCAAGTAGCAACAAAGATTCTGCATTCGGAAGAGGAAAAAAGTTAAATCAATAGAATAAAATTCTTAAAACTCATTATAATCGCAACAAACCAGGTAATTTAAGTAATCGAAGCATACCTATAGTTACATACATCGTCAACCTGAGCTTCACCAAGGTAATTCTTACCTCTTTGCATTCTATCTATGTACCTTCTGCTTGATCTCTCTATGCATTGAAATGGTGATTAAACATACTAAATTAGCAGCAGAAGAAAGAACATAGATTTCTGAAATATGAAGGTAGTAGTGATAGTGATAGTGATGCTGAACCTGTTTTGCTTTTCTTGATAGAACATGTCTCAATCTCTGAGTAGTTGCTCCTATACTCTTCATCAACAACTTAAAAAGGAAAAACCATATAAAAGTTAATAAAAGTTGTGAAATTTTCCTCTTTCCATGGTTAATTAACTATCCTATTCAATCAAACACAACAAAGTTAACAAAATTAGTATTAGCACAAAAAGGCTTGAAAATTGAAATGAAACCATATAAGAAGAAAACAACAGAGGGTAGATCTTGAGTCACAAATAGAATACCCTTAATTGAAATAAACAAAAAGTTCGTAAAATTTCAACCAAGATTTCCAATCCAAAAACCCCAAATTACATTAAAATCATGAGATTAAAAAAAAGTGATTAATTAATCACCTTGAGAAATTATATCATCTGCTTGAAAGTCCTCAGATTTGCTCTTGATATTGAACCATTTTTTGACCAATGTTTTTGGCCATGAAAGCTTCACCAACAAAAACAATAATCCCTTAATACAAAAAAATAGATAAATGAAAGTGAAATAGAATAAGCATTTCTGAACAACAACAAAAAAAAGAAACCTTGCTTTTCTTCAAATTGTCATCTCTCATTGTTGAGATAAGTTAATATATCAAAATACCATTCCTGCTTCAAGAAAATAAGAAAATATCTTAAATGGGCAACAATGTTTGAGACTTTAAGGAAGACAATGCAGAAGAAAACATGAGTGAGAGAGAGAGTAATAAAGAAGGGTGGTACAGAGGTAAAGCAGGGAATTTGAAGGGGGAATAAAGTGCAGGCAGGAGAGGTAAGGTTGGTTAAGTGTGGAGGGGTTTCCTTTATCTGCAAATTCAAAGACTTAGTTAAGAAACCCCAAAAGAGACAGAGTGCAATGGTTACATTGGTAATGGTAACCCACTCACATAACCCAACATAACATTGTCTTTAATCTTTATGCACTCACTATAACTATATTCTTTTATTTGTATCTTAATTAACTGGTTATGTGTGGATAAGATAAAAGTAACGGAGAGCGGAATGGAACGGAACATAGAAAAATATAAAAAAATAATATATATTTTTATTATTTAGATATGTCATAATAGAAAAGAATAATTTTATTATTTCGTCTAAAATAGAGGGTATCAAAAATAATGGAATGGATTGTAATGCATTTTATTAGGTTTTATTTCATTCATTTTTAATTAATTCAAATAACTGAATTTAAGTTTATGCTATTTCATTTTATCTCATTTCATTTTATTCCATCAATCTAAATATACTTCAGTAAAAAGTAAAAAAAAAAAAGAATTTTTATTTAGAAACTTAGAAAAAACAAAACAAAAAATGACAAATGGTTAGTGTTTATAATTAATTGTCAGGATATATTTACTTTAACTGCTAATTCATTTTGTATACAGAATCTCATTTTGAATACAGAATCATAGTATAAAACATAAAATTGCCACATGATATGAATCTAATGACCTCTATTATTTCAAATCCTTCTTTAATCTCTACCATTGTTAGAACTACTATAACGTCTAAGTTTTGTACATCGTTAGTAGGGTCATTTTAAGTTTTATTAAGTCAAATAAATGAGTTTTAATATTTTTTGTATTTAATCTTTGGAGTGTGAGTCATGTTAGTTAGAAAAATGTGTTTCTTCTATCTTTTCAAGTCAATATCTCCATTAGAAAAATTCTTCATTCGATCTTGTCTATTTTGATATGTTGGATATAGGTTGTGCTAGTTTTATTTTGTTGTTTGGGTAGGTCGATACTTTCGTTGATTATTTTTTAAGATGTATGTGAATTTTCATGATGAAAGAATGTTAGTTATTTACCATGTATATATGTTGCAATGTAAATAGCAAGTGTAATATTATCCTATATGTGGTATTTGGATTGAAATTTAGTGTTGATAAGGGTAGCTTTATGGTTCGACAGGAGTTCTATATACTGTAGTCAAATTTTATTCGAGCATAATGTCGAAATATATTAACTTGTAATTTAAGTTAGTATGTCGAATTTGGTCTTGCTTCTAAGCCTAATTGTTAAGTTAGTTTGTAGCATGAGTTAGCTTATTAGTCTATAAATAAACTAATTCTCTCAGATTGTTGAGAGATGTTAATTGTTGGTATTCACTTGTAATCTTTGAACTTTTATTGAGTAAGTAAATAGTAAAACAGTTTTAACCAATTCTTCTTCTTCCCTCTTCTCTATCTTTTATAAAACCTGACTTTCTTGTGTTTGTTCAAGAAACTCAACCTTTTTCTCATATTACGATTTGTTCTTGACGACATCAATTCACAACACTATCCATAGAGATTGATTGTGTGTTAAAGACTATTCATCAATTTTATGATTCTAAGGACAATGGTTGTTCAGAGTTGTTTTGTTATGAAAATAAAATAATAAAAAGTTAGAAAACTTGTTAGGGTTAGATTTCATCATACTTATCCTCATGTGTAACAATCGGTCAGTAATATACTTTCCTACTCAATTATTAATATGTCTGCATGTTGCTCTCATTGCAACTTATCTCTAAGTTAACAACGGAAGATCAATTGTATTACCTAATAGGTGGTTTCTCACCCTATTAACCAATACAACAACATCAAGTTCAAACGGTGAATAAAGATATCAATTATCAATATTCATGTAGATATTAAACTTAACCTTATCTCTAGGCATTAGCATTCAATAGATGGAGACTTTGATCTAGTAACAACCAATACATCTTGTATGTTAAGTCGTACCATGAGAACATATTTTAAGTATCTAATCTAAAACAAGCATTAAGAACGAAGAATCATCAATATTAAAGTTTAAGTAGAATTGTATAAGACATCAAAACCTTAATTAATACATGAGTATAATAATGACTACATCTAACCCTCTACAAAGAGACTTTAAGGAAGACAATGCAGAAGAAAATATGAGAGAGAGAGAGAGAGAGAGACCTTGTTGTGAGTAATAAAGAAGGGTGGTACAAAGGTAAAGCAGGGAATTTGAAGGGGGAGAAAGTGCAAGCAAGAGGGGTAAGGTTGGTTAAGTGTAGAAGGATTTCCATTATCTGCAAATTCAAAGACTTAGTTAAGAAACCCCAAAAGAGGCATAGTGTAATGGTTATATTAGTAATGGTAACCCACTCACATAACTCAACATAACATTGTCTTTAATATTTATGCACTCACTAAAATTATATTCATTTATTTGTATCTTAATTAACTAGCTATGTTTGGATAAGGCAAAAATAACCGCATAGAATGGAACGGAACAGAATAAAATGTAAAGAAGCAAAGCAGAATGAAATGAAATAAATATATTATTTTATAATTTAGGTATTTCGTAATAGAAGAGAGTAATTTTATCATTCTGCCTAAATTAGAGGTACCAAAAATGATGGAATGGATTGTAATGCATTTCATCAAGTTCTATTTCATCCATTTTTAATTAATTCAAATAATTGAATTTAAATTTATGCTATTTCATTTCATCTCATCTCATGTCATTCCATCAATCTAAATATACTTCAGTAAAAAGTATAAAATAAAAAAAAGAATTTTTATTTTGAAAATTGAAAGAGAAAATAAAGACAAATTGTTAGTTTTTATGATTAATCGTTAGTATATGTTTATCTTAACTGCTAATTCATTTTGTATACCGGATCATAGTATAAGACATAAAATTGCCACATAATATGAGTCTAATGACCTCTATTATTTCAAATCCTTCTCTAATATTGTTAGAACTACTACAATGTCTAAGTTTTGTGCAACATTATTAGGGTCATTTAAGTTTTAATAAGTCAAATAAATGGCTTCTAATATTTCTTGTGTTCAATCTTTGGAGTGTGAGTCACGTTAGTTAGAAAAACATGTTTCTTCTATATTTCCAAGTCAATATCTCCATCAGAAAAATTCTCCATTCAATCTTGTCCATTCTGATATGTTGGGTATAGGTTGTGCTAGTTTTATTTTATGGTTTGAGTACTTCGATACTTTCGTTGATTAATTTTTAAGATGTATGTGAATTTTCATGATGAAATAATGTTAGTTATTTACCATGTATATATGTTGCAATGTAAATAGCAAGTGTAATATTGTCCTATATGTGGTATTTGGATCGAACTCCAGTGTTGATAAGGGTAGCTTTATGGTTAAACAGGAGTTTGTATTGTGAGATATTGGATCGCACTCTAGTATGGTCAAAGGGTAGCTTCTGGCTTGACAGAAATTAAGCATGAGATCGAAGTATGTTCGCATGCTGCTGTCGGAGTAATGCGTGTTGTAGCCGAAGTTTGTTCTAACATGCATAACCAATATTGCTAGAGTTATTAGCATGTTGAATTGGGCCTTGCTTGTAAGCCCAATTGTTTAAGTTAGCTTGTATCCTAAGTTAGCTTGTAATGGATAATTGTTAAAAAGCCCATTAGATTAGTGTGTTATTTTTATTATAAATAGGATGCTAGTTTCTCAATCTTGTAATAAGGAAAAATAGGAAGATAAAATCCTAGTATCAAGAGAGATAAGTTGTTGTTATTCTTGTATACTTGTAATCATGTTCTAAGAGAAAGGAAAGAATAATTGTTTACAACCAACCCTTGGTGTTCCTTGTTGTTTTACCTTGTCTTCTATGTTAATCCTAACCCTTGTGTGTTTCTTGATCAAAAGAAACCGTTTATACTTTTTTATAAGGTATCTGATTCACAACAAATTGGTACGGTGAGCATGGAGAAGATGTCTTCAACAAAGTATGAGATTGAAAAGTTCACCGGAGTGAACGACTTCGGCCTGTGGCGCTTGAAGATGAAAGTCTTATTGGTTCAGCAGGGTTGTTTAGAAGCTTGGAAGGGTGAGGCATCCATGAATGTTACATTAACGGTAAAAGAAAAGACGGGCATGATCAAGAAAGCTCACAACATAATATTGTTGAGCCTTGGTGATAAGGTTCTTTGGCATGTATCAAAGGAGACTACAACATCGAGATTATGGGTGAAACTTGAAAGTTTGTATATGACCAAATCTCTGGTGAATCGACTCTACCTGAAGCAAGCTTTGTATTCATTCAAGATGAGTGAAGACAAAGTGTTGGCGAAGCAGTTGGATATGTTCAACAAGCTGATTCTTGATCTTGAAAATATTGATGTGAAGATCGATGATGAAGATCAAGCACTGTTGTTGTTGTGTGCTTTGTCCATAAACATGCTCACTTCAAAGAGACTCTCTTGTATGGAAGGGAGTCTTTGACCTTTGAAGAAGTTCAATCAACCTTGTATTCTAAGGACTTAAACGAACAAAAGGAGCATAAACCTTCAACGGTGGGCGAAGGTTTTACCGTTAAGGGAAAATTCTTGCGAAAGGATGGTAAGCTCGACAAGAAGAAAGGTAAAAGTCAATAGAAATCTTATAGTGGCGAAACATTTGGTATTCGATGTTATCACTGTAAGAAGGAGGGTCACACAAGAAATGTATGCCCTAAACGCCTGAAAGATCATGGAGGTAATTGCAACACAGTCATTGTTCAAGATGACTTCGACTCATCTTATGTTCTTGTGGTTTCAAGTGGCGACTCGAGAAAAGAGTGGATTATGGATTCGGGTTGCA